GAGGCGAAGAGAGCGATGAGGGCGGGACGGGCGGGATTTAAGCCGCTCGTGACGTACCTGTACGAAACCAGAGGGCGGGCGTACCGGGACGGCGTTCGAGAGTTCATACAGGCGTACAGAGAGGGATTCAAGGAAGTTCAGGCTGATTATGAGAGCGGAAAACACGAAGAGACGCTCTCTGGTAAGGCGGCATCAATGCTTGCCCAAGCAGAGGACGTGTTGCAGAGAGCTGAGAAAACCGAAGTGCCGGTCGACGACTCAGAAGAGACTACGAAGAAATAGGAAATAGAAATAGTCTGGCTAGAATCTAATTAATGTTCAATTACTCAAACAATCTAGTGATGAACTTGAGGAAACGTTATCGTCGTCACGTCCACGTCCCCGCTCCGCGCCTGCGCCGCGTGGAACGCCGCAATATTATCGTACGCCACGTCGAACGCCGCCTGCACGTCCGCATCGAGCGTCGGATCCGGGAGATCCTCCACGCGCTCCGTCGTCGCCGCCAACGCGCACTCGTCAAACTTTCGCGTGTACTCTCGCACCGCGTCGTCCCCTCTCGTCTCCACCGCCTCCACGATCGGTCGCACCACGTCTAAGATGGACGTAAAGTCCACGCGCGGGCGTTTCATCACCTCGATCCGCCCTCGCGCGTCGAGTTCACGCTCGACGTACGTCTTCATCGCGAATCCCGGTCGCGCCACCGCCTGCGTCGCGGTCGTCGCCCGCGCCGCGCGCGCCCGCGTTCGAGCGCGCGCGCCGGTCGCCCTCGCGCCTCGCGCCGTGGACGCGCGTCGCGCCGACATCTCCGTCGCGTCGTCCGTCGTCGCCGTCGTCTATCGCGCCGACGCCGACGCGTTTCCGACGTCGACGCATCCATTCGCACGTCTCGTACACCACGCGATCGAACGCCGTGTACACACACACACGACGACGCGCCGGATGTCGACGCATTCGCGCGCGCACGTCGTGTACACCACGCGATATAACAGTATGTATGCACACACACATCGCGCGCGCACACGTCGATAAAAAACCCTAAACCCGCACGACGCGATGGATTCCCCCGGGGGTGAGTCTCATTTTCCCTACGTTTTTAAAGAGACCTACGTTTATCTTAGTGTAAATGAGACTGTTCATAAAAACGCACGCCGTGTCGACACGGCGTAGCGCATTGCTCTGAAATTAGGTATGTAGGCGTAAAACAATGCCATGCACCATTCAACAAAGTTTCGCATCGATCAGTGCACCAGCACGACGACGGCATAGTAGTTTCTGCGCGCAGCTCTGCCTCCTGCCCGATCACGGAAGTCGATTGACGAGTTATGACTCAAGGAATAAGTGGGGTAAAAGCGGGTAAAACGGGGTTGTCTGGAATGTGAGCCTAAAAAGGTGTACATCCGGTTGGCGTCGGCGAAGACCATAGCGAGTTACTCACGTTTTTCGCGTCACAGGAGAACGTGTCATGAATGTCATATTGACAAAGCGGCGCGCTAAGTAGAAGCACATATGGAAGTTCAGAATGTGATAGGACAACTAGCCGCTTAAGCACCAAATAGATGTGTCCAATTCAAGTTCATCATAGTACACGTGTAATGGATCCTTCACGTTCGCGTACCAATAACGCGAGTCGACATTTTTTATATCGCGCAAAGCGTGTACGAGCTTATTTCGTAAGTGCTGCTCCCCACAATGCGTCACGTACAGTTTCGGTGAAATGGCAATACCCATGGCAGCTAAGGTGATGTTGTAAACTGTAAGTACTCCACAGGACGACCCGTCGACCTGCTGAGGTGGCCATGTCTTCGAGTCGAAACGTACTTTTGCTTCCAGCGCCTTGTGCTTCGATGCAGCTTCATCGTTTTCAGGTTGCGTTCTGTGCCATTCGCGAACGGCAAACGTCAAGAGCTGTCCGAGCTTTTCCACTTCCTCCTTGTCATCGGGTGGAAGTGGAACGTGCTGTGTATTGAACTTGTGGCTTCTGAGTACCTGCATAGAGTCGTACCTGCGTGAGGTCCATGAGCCGCGCTCGTACTTGAAATGATACGCGAACCAATGGCATCTAGCCCCATTTTGCCACACGAAAAAAATATCATCACTTTCATACCACCTTGCATTCCTCCCATGAGATGTCATCGACAGGGCGTTACGATAGTCTTGCTCGACAGCTACACGGCCGGTCGTCATTAGCTCCGACTCACGTAAAATAGGTCCTACAATCGAGCATCGTCTCCCCATTGCACGCAAATCGAATTGTATGCAGTCCAAAATTGGGTTGATGTGATAGTTTTCCAACCATTTGGTATCACCACATATTTCATACATATTCGCATTCGTCAATTTGGGACAAGTGTGCTGGTCCGTGTACTGTTTGATGAATCGTTTCTTGTCCGCAGTCTTATATTGCACTGCGTCGCCTGACGGCTGACGAAAGATTCGTGGTAATTCATTCTCGTCCCCCAGATTGAAGTGTTCAAATTGCGCATGTGAGCCAGCATGCTTCATCAGGGTGCACTGCATCGCAAGTTCTTCATAGTGGTCTTCGCTTCCAATTTTCTGTTCCGTGATCCGCCGCACGATGTGGACCGGGCATGGACAGAACGCGACGCCATCGACGTTGAACAATACTTTTCGCGTCGCCGCGTATGCGACGTGATCATCCGAGTTCCATACTTTCACAGGTGGGAATTGTTTTTTGAAGAGTTGCTGTACAACGTGCCGCACCGATGCGCAAATGGCAATGGGAATGATAGCGCACTCAGCCGCGTACCAACCAAAGGCGAAAACTCGAAACTCTTGTCTGAGATCACGGCTCTCTGTATCCCAATAGTTCGATCGCGACCCTATTGAGCACAACATTGACTGGTGTTTGTTCAGCACGCTCCAGATGCCATCACCACCCAGTGGTAGGCAGTTTTCCCAAGCGTCGATACATGCGAGAGCATCAACTATCATCTCTTTGCTGCTCATGATGACGAGTTTATCGTGAATGGCATCTATCTCTTTCGCGACAGTACCAAACTCGGCACTATGTACCTTTTGTGCGCGCTGTAGTTCACCTGGAGTGAGCATGGTTGCGTCAAATGGAAGTGCAAAAGTGGTACCTGGGCGGAGCGCGTGGAACGCGTCCGCTGTGCTGGGAATGGCGTGTTGCTGCAGGTATCTTTGTACCTCTTCAACTGTCAAATCTCCACCTGCAGCTTCCTTGCGATGGAAGAAGTTCTGTAAAAGGGGTACATGATTGTCAGTCTCACACAGCTCATTTTTAGAGCGGGCGCACCTTCAACTGTTTCTGACTCGGGAGATCCCCCTTGCCAGTAATCTTATCATGTAAACCGCCGTTGATCCACGCGCTGTGTAATTCCGTTAGTATGGCCGCGGGCGTTGCACCTGTTTTGCGCATTTCTGAGATGATGGGAACGAGATTGCGATGCACTCCTCGCTGATGACCTTCCCGGCAGTGCTTTGTCGGCGGAATGCCGATTGCGGGAGCTCCGTCACAGTCAACAATATCACCCGTTCCTCGTTCGATGACGTGTTCAGTCGGTACATTCGCGAGTGCATCGCATTGCTCTCCGTATAGTCTCTCGACAAGCCAAAAGCCAGCTGCGCCCAAGTGTGTTGGCCTACTCACACGCAGCCGACAAGGGCATCCGTTATCCGCATGCGTGGCGCAGGTGTAATACCAATGCATCGCAGAGCTGTTGGCACTCTTGAATCTCACGCCGTTCGGACGAAGACGCGCCGCAGCCCTCGCTTCAGGCCCCGTGTTGTGCTTTTCAAGGAGAACCCATTCACCGCCCGCGTCGTGCTTGGAAGATCTTTTCTGTCCAACATCCCAAGTCAGTCCCACGACCTCATTTGATCGTTTTTTCGCTTCAAGCAAGCTCAATAGATTTTTCGCGGGCGCTAGAACGTCATCAAAGTCGTCAGCCACCCCGTAATCGTTCTCCTCGTTCTCCATCGGCGAACCGCGCCCTCGTGCGCGTTTTTGGCGCGCGGCCATCGCAGGGCCATCAAGTGCGTCTGCGGCGAGCCTCAGCACGTTCGCAAGATCATGTCTGTTTCGCTTTCCGCACACGCCGGACGCGAACTGACGGCTTGAGCTCGTCGGTTGAGAGATGGCATTCGTGAGATCAGCGAGGGGACTCGACTGTTCCGACGACTCCGCGGCGAAATCGTCGGCGACACCGTCCGATCGCGTGGATGATGTTCGCGTCATCATGTTTCGAGTGCTCTCCGTCGCGGTGCGAGCGTCGACGATGCGCTCTTCACCTTGCCGTCGTCGACGCAACACGCGTAGTGTAAATGAGACTCTTCCGCAGCGGAAAGTCTCATTTACCCTACGATGTCGTAGGGAAAATGAGACTCTTCGTAGGGCAAATGGGGTCTCTTTAAAAGCGTAGGGTAAATGAGACTTCCCGGGCGTCAAATTATCGTATGGTTTAGGGTTTAGTTTAGGGTTTAAGGGTGATCATATGGGTAAACAGTATAATTATAATGTTCGGACAAATGGCGTCTTCCTACCTACCCTGGAAATGGGGGCATCTTGCACCTGCAAGATGCAAGTGCAATGCAAATTTCGGCAGTTTCGGGGTGTCTTGCGCAAGTCCCCCGCCCCTAGTTCAGCGAAGTTCGACACGCGACATTGATAAGTTAACAATTGTAGTCGAAAATCTAACTGAGTATGCACAACTAAGACCGCGCACACATATGACGCAACGAAGAAAACATACATCGGCTAACTCACCTGAAAATATAGGTTACCCCCGAAGGAGTTATACTGTATACATACGTGATAAAAAGTTACTTCAGCATGATATTTAGCCACGCCCCGATTAGCCACGCGTCCAGGCGTTCGCGTCTGGTTCTCATCTCATCGGCGGCCTGCACGGCAGACAGCCCACCCAGCGACGCGGAACGCCAGTGCGCGCCACCCACCATAGGTCCCAATAGTCCAGAAACGAACTGTGACCGGATCCATGGGAAGTCAGAAGAAAAAGTCGTTTGTTGATAGGAAGAAGGCGGTGACTTACGCCTTACTGCCGCCTCACGATAGCGGCGCAGCCGGCGAGAACAACTGGGTTAGGACTGACGCCAACGGGTGCGCTGACCCGTTCGCAATCAACGTTGATGATGCATCCAACAATATGGCAAAGATATCTAAGATTCTACCATGTACATCACGGGACTGCGAAACAGCCGAAAAGACGCACCATGTACTGACAATGTCGGAGAAGGAAGACTTAGGACTTCCCCATGATGGCTACGACTACTCAAGACATCTGAGAGTCTGTACACTAGGAGGCGAAGAGGATAACGAAAGACACTATAACGAAACTGTAGGAATGAGCCGATCGGCTGACATGCGAATATCCGCTATCGTAGTGAGTAAAGCGGGGTTGGGGGATAGTGCACGGACTACGTTAAAAAATGACACCTCTGTTTCAGGCGTACTAAGAGCGCTCGATGCGATGTCTTATGACGATGAGAGTATTGAAGAACGACTTGAAGAGTTATCGGATGACTTTTATCATCTCGCAAACGAGCAGATTGACGGGAAGCACACCCCTATTGCTGTACATGAGGTAGCCTCCGAGTTGAGCTCACGGTTTCCTGGCGCTGGCGAACAGAAATCAGTTGCGAGAAATTCCACCGTGATCGATGGAAAGTGTGTTCAAGATGATGCATTCCTTCGTATAATGGATTCTTACGCGGATGAAGAACTTGGTGACGGATGCGAAGATCAACCTAGTAGTTCTACAAATGGTACAAGTGACGGAACAGCGCATACGTTGGACCTTGTCCTCAGCTTATCCGAGCCGAAGCTGAGCAGCCAAAGCATTAGCGTGCAAATGTCAGTCGGTGCGAACGTAGTGATGGGTACTAAGTTACATGATTCACCTGAAAGAAACACCGGGATGGTCACTTTACACGACTGCGAAAGCGTTCTAAGTTTGCATAGTAGCTCTTCTTACCATCCAAAGCTTCTTGAATGTAGATGGCCCCGAAGGGCCACAAAATTGGCGTCTACTGCACAATACAATGACGTACATGAGGTTGCAAGATCTGTTCTTGCTAATGGAGATGACGTGCGCAAAGTGGAAAAAGATTGTGAGTTCAATTGGCGTAGTGAGATCACGCGCAAAGGTGAAACAGCTGAGCAGAAGAAGGAGCGTAAAGCTGCAGTCAAGACGGGGCGAAGACAAGCAAGAAGCGCAAAAAAATGTATGAAGGAAACCTTTCGGAGTGTTACACGGGACGAGAGCTCTGCGGCAGTTTGCGGGGACGTCCCAACGAGTGTTTCTGTGACAAAGTTTTGAAGAAAGTGAACCGTAATGATTGTTACCGACACTTGAATTGAATAAATGGCGTAGCTTGTGTCTCATTTTGATTGCTTATCATTTTCTACGCTTCGCAAGGCCGAAATTAAGATAGATTCGACGAGACATTCGTCAATAATACCGTTGTGAGTAATTCTCTCCAATAATAATGTCGTTGGATCCACTCCAAAGTGGCAACTTAAGTACTCGGGGCAAACGTGTTCACTTTCAGTTATGACGCACACAGGAAGGCCATCCATCGAATGACGTTTAGCACGTCCCTCGGAAATATCTGATAGCGTGAACAGACGCCGGGTCGCTTTCGACTCGTTCAGGAGTTGATCCTGATGTCGGGTGTTCTGCGCGTTCATTTGTGGTCCGATTGGACCGGAGCGGTGTTTATCGAACCTATGATCGATACGCTCATGGGCTAAAATGTTGAATGTATTCGAAGTTCCCCAGGGAACAGAGTACTTCTTGGCGTCTGCAACACCATGGGCGTCAACTCTGAGCGTTCTTTCAAACTGAGGGTTAAGGAAAGCAATCAAACCAAGCACGGTTGGCTTCATATCTTTGACAGAGTGGTGCGATTGCCATGCAGATGCAGTCTTGGCGACTGTGTTAGACGCGAACTTTCGAATAACCTCTGTAGCCACGTGCATGCCTGAATCTCTCGTAACGAGCACTACTTCATCGCCTGTGGTGACGCCCAAGTCATCTCGCACACATCGAACGAACGTCTCCGCAACGTCAGCAATACAAGTTGCATGCGAGGTATTGTAATCAACAGTGATTGCAAACGCTGCTGACGTAATAGAATCGATAAATCTATCCCAAGACTTGAAAGTTCTGTCCAAGTTCGTTTGGATGAAAAGGATAACAGGCGTGCGTGTGTGCGCATTCAACCGCTTCAAGACTTTTCTATTACTTTGCGTGCCCAGTTGCTTCCAGATTGGAAGCCGGTAACCCAGGGCTGAAGCAACTTGCATAGATTTTTCAGATAGCTTACCAATTAAATTCACACTATTCCATGCGTTTGCCAAACGCGGCTCGATTTCACGGTGATTAAGTATGTTTGGGTCAGCAGCACCACTGCCGCCCGGCTCGACTGGTTCAAATGTTCTCGTACCATCACCGGAGTAAGGATGTACCATGCAGTCGTTATATGCCATGTTCAAAATTGAACATATATTTCGCATGGTCTGCATCGGATTTGATACTAAATCCTCATAGTACACGTCCACGCATTTGAACTTGTCCACACCTTTCAAAAAATCGACAATGTTGGAGTTTCCTTGGGACCATAAATTATCCATGAAGTTCCAGACCTGTGTGCAAGCGGCGTCGCGACTGCGCGCTCGCTGATCGCATGTGGGAATTTCTAGACATCTCATACTCTCTTTTAATCGATCAGTTCCAGTCATTAATGTCTCCTTGACCATGGAGTTTATTGAGGCATATGGGTGGCGGTGTATGAAAATATAGCGGGCATTTTTGAACATCATTTCTGCCCGCATTAGATTGTCCAGCGACCAGGCGTACGGTGGCGTTTTATCTACAAGAATTCGCTCACCACACCATTCTTGAAGGATCGTGTAAACTTTATGAGTCGAAAGACTTTGCATGTCTTCTAAAATTTTGTCAGCTTCATCAGCAAAGCATCCGCGTAGCTCCATGATCGCTTTTCGTAATCCCTCTAGGGCCCAAGAGTGACCTCGTGATAATGCTTTTTGTCTTTGTGCCATCGTCTCAAAGTTGAGAAGGTACAGTTCCTGTGGCGCAAATATCGCTGCGTTTGTGTTCAACATCATCTGCAGCAAAGTAGAACCAGATCTAGGTGACGCTAAGACAAACACTATTTTTCTGTCCAGCTTTGCCATCTGTAACTGATTACTGTCCGGTGATACATGTTCGTCAGGATCTGTCGAAATTTTGTATCTCTGGACTTGCTTATCGAGCCATTTGCATACCCTTTCGTTCACATTTATTCCATCGACAGCGAGTTCAAGTGCCATTGCCCGCACGACCAAATCATGTATATTTGCAACTATAGGGCCACGTAGCGTAGACTCAGCCAGTCTGTACGGACAGTGATCCATGGCGATCGTATCAAGTACACGCTGTATCGAAACTACCGTGATATCGTCACAAAATTCGCAGTTTTGCACAGGGAAGCTTCCTGTCCGTTTGGAATTCACAATATCATGTACTTCGAACCAAATGAGTTTCTGGAGCTGTTGGTGCGCTGTTTCGACTATAGGACTACGCGTATGAATGTTTCCTGCATTTAGTCGAGGAATAACCACTCCTCTGCGAGGTTGCATCCCTCGAAACATGATAGATGTTCTACCTGCGCTCGTGATCACATGTGCCATGCTCCCACCGTAACCAAATGAACTTGTACCAACTATTCCATTTAATATGGGACCTTTCAGCATCGGAAAGTAGGATCGGCCGTCAATGTTCACATCTTTCCATGTGTGCCCCATCTTCTCTGCATGCTCGCCGACTGAATGCCCCAACATCATGGGGTTCAATTTTTTGAAATGGACGAGAGGCACCGCTATCATGCTGCAACTCATCAAGGCGGACTTTATGATCGATATCATTCCAGATGCACCATCTAGATGACCAATATTCGTATGTACACTACCAAAGCCTATGGTTGAAGTACGACTCAAATTTTCAGAACAGAACACCGTCTGATATGCTCCTATTTCGATCGCGTCTCCGAGTGGTTCTCCAAGGCCAGATGCCTCCACAAATGTTACATCTTTCGGCAGCAACGCGCTATTCAGCAACGCACAATGGACTTTGTACTCAATAGCAGGTCCTCTTAGCGCCCTCAGTGACGCACCGCCACCCTTGTGTATGCAAGAAGACCCCGCCAATACGAAACGTACTGGATCGTTGCGTGTGAGGCTGGCTGCATGCATCAAGATTGCGCCCGTTCCTTCCCCACGCTCAAATCCATCTGCACTCACATCAAACGTCTTACAACGACCATCTACAGGAAAAATTTGTCGAGCAATATGTAAATCCGATAGTTGCCTGTGCATAATCATGTTCACACTTGCCGCTATAGCTGAATCGCTAACAACGTTAACTACGCCACGCAGTTTCAAACTATTCATAGCAAGGTGGACACACACTAGCCCCGAGGCTGATGCACAGTCTATTGACATTGATTCGCCTTGAAAACCGAACATGTGACTAACACGATTCGAGGCGAATGCATACGTTGACTCAGACATTCCCTGTACAACACTTGGCAATATGTTTTTCTCACGGGTACTAATGACACCACACAATGCAGAGCGAACAACAACATCTCTCCCGACAGCTTCACTATCATTTGTGCAGATTCCAACGAAGACAGAAGTCGTGTTTTCAAACGGCGTCGATTTCACATGAACGTCTTGACCATAATAAACTTCCCGGCAAACCTTCAAAATCTCTCTTTGTTGTGGCTCGATGATGTGTCGAACAGACGGTGCTAGCTCGAAAAATTTGGCATCGAATATATCAACTTCTCTTATGAACGAGCCATACTTGCTGTAGATACCGTACACTGGATCGCGTTTTCTAATCGTGTGCACTGTTGACGTGTCGTCCACATCCCAACGATCAGTTGGGATTCTTCGAACTGCATCTTGTCCACATGTTATCATTGTCCAGAAATCGAATGGAGATGTGACTTCCTGAAAGCCCGTTCCACCAGTTCTTAATGCAAATGATTCCGCTACGACGTGTGTAGTCGTTTCGCGACGCTTTTCACAATCGATCTCAAGTTGAGAACAACTTGGTTTTGTTGGAAGGTTTGCACTTTTGTCACATATGAATGCGGACAAGCTTGATATGGTTGGATGATCGAACGTCACGGTAGACGGTACTGGCAAGTCAAAACGGCGCTCTACGGACTGAGAGAACTCTGCGAGGCACATGCTGTCAAATCCTGCGTCGATGAACGGCATATCTGCATCGATCTTCCTGCCAAGAATACTCACGACCAGTTCTGATACACCCTGCTGAATTTCAAGGGGTTTTAAATTTAAAGCTTGGATACCTACACTCGTATTCTCAGAAAGTGAATGTATATGAGTGAATAACGGTGCGGCGAAACGTTCCCAAACGAATGCATTAGCGATGATGACACCTGATTCAAAAACATCGCATATAAGTAAGTTCAATACATGCAATCCAACTGTCGTGCGAACTGCGCCAACACCCAACCGAGAAAGGCGCCTGTGGTTTGCATGATCACTTTTCATCATACCCGGTAAGTCTACCCAGGCGCCCCACTGGATGCTTATTTTGTTCACACCTTGCTGGTTTAAATGTTCGCAGTAGCTATCGAGTAGTGCGTTTGCTGCGACATAACTCACTTGTCCAAATGTCCCTAGAAGCACGGATATGGACGAGAAATAATGTGCTGTAGCATGTAGCGACGATGGATTGCAGTATGCCGAAATTGATCCAGTTGCCTTTGGTGCGATCACAGCACGGATCATACAAGCCGTCTGATTTTTAACGATGCCATCTTGTATGACCCCTGCCAAATAAAACAACGTGCACAGTTGTCTTCGTACATTGTCGCGCCACTCATCTGTGTCCGAGTGACCGCAGTGGTCGATGGCATTTAATGTAGTGCAGCAGCTATCCATCTCGGATGCACCTATTATTTGAGTCATCCTTCCATTTCTGTTACTCGACCTAACATATTTGAATCTGGCTACGTGCAACATCACATGTACAAGTTGGCCAATCGCACCAATGCCATGCAACACTATCTCACTGCGCTGCTTGACTTTCATGGAATAGCCTGGTCCTCGTAACTGTTGAGTGCCGCACATCTTTGGAACTAGGTTGGTTCCCCTCACCTTGTTCGTATGCTTGAAGGATGTTGAGCCCGCCATGAAGCGAGGATGTGATGCGTGTGCGTCAACTGAGCAATCACCACAGACAGTGAATGTGACATCTTTGTGTTCAGTGCAGAAAAC